ATGATATGGATGAAGAAGGTGGCAATGCTTCTGAAGATGAGGAATTAGCATTGAATAATAGTAGACTATTAAGCACTGATGCAAATGTGCAAATCTCCCTACATGCATTGAAAGGTATTGCTGGTGGTAGCACTTTACAGTTGCAAGGTTTAATCAAAAAGCAACCTGTCCCATTCTTGATGGACACAGGAAGCACACATAACTTCATATCTGCAAAATGGGTCAAGCTTCTAGGTTTGAAGACGCAACCTATCAGAGAATTCCTTGTTATGATTGCTAGTGACCAATCTATTACGATCACAAGAAAATGTGATATGTTGGACTGGAAATTTGGTCAGCATTGTTTCACAACAGACTTTCTTGTATTACCTGGATCTTTATTTGGAGTAATTCTAGGAATGCAGTGGTTCAAAGTACTGGGCGAGATCAGCTAGAACTGTGATAAATTGACAATGAAATTCATGCATCAAGGAAAGGAAGTGGTGTTGAAAGGAGAACAGCAGCAATGTGCCTTGATCGATGGGGCTGGAAATCTACGAGCAATCACTATGCAAGCTATGATCTTCTCTATGAATGGATCTATCTGTTTTCAAATTTCCATGGATCCAGATGAAGCGAGCTTGACTGAACAGCAGCAAACCGAGCTAGAAGATCTCTTACAGGACTTTACAAACTTGTTTGTGGAGCCTACATCATTACCTCCTAGCAGAAGGTATGATCATCAGATCACCTTGACTGATGAGAAACCTATCTGTCTAAAACCTTACCATTATCCACATACTCAAAAGGAAGAAATCGAAAGACAAGTTCAGGCTATGTTAAAGACAGGATTCATAAGGGAAAGTGGTAGTTCGTTCTCTTCTCCATTGGTTCTGGTTAAGAAAAAGGATGGAAGTTGGAGGTGCTGCACAGATTTCAGGAGGTTAAATGCTGTAACTGTAAAGAATAAGTTCCCTATTCCACTCATAGAGGACTTATTAGACGAATTGAAAGAAGCTGCTTACTTTTCCAAGTTAGACCTGAAAAGTGGTTATAATCAAGTGAGAATGCATGAGAGGGACATCCACAAGACAACATTTAGAACACACAGCGGCCATTATGAGTGGGTAGTTCTCCCATTCGGGTTGAGCAATGCTCCTGCTACATTTCAGAATTTAATGAATGACATTTTCAGAAAGCACTTAAGAAAGTTTATCCTTGTGTTTTTTGATGATATCTTAGTCTATACTAAGACTTGGGAGGAGCACAAAGCATGTTTAAGAGAAGCACTTCAGATTTTGGAGGAGAACTGTTTGGTACTGAATTATAAGAAGTGCAGCTTTGGCAAAAAGAAAGTGGAATACCTTGGACATGTGATCACTGTTGATGGAGTAGCACCGACTGCAGGAAAGATTGAAGCGGTACAGCAATGGCCTACACCTAAAAATGTGAAAGAACTTAGGGGATTTCTAGGACTTTCTGGTTACTACAGAAGGTTCATTAGAAATTATGGATGCTTGGCTGCCCCCCTGACCTCACTTCTTCAAAAGGACCAGCGTACAACTGGAATCAACAAGCAGAAGAAGCATTCTCGGCTATCAAAACGGCCTTGATCACGGCTCCTGTCTTATCATTGCCAGATTTCACTAAACCATTCACTGTGGAAACAGATGCCTCAGCAACAGGAATTGGTGCAGTTCTGATGCAACAAAGCCATCCTATAGCATTCATTAGTAAGGTAATGGGACAAAAATTCCAATTGCTTTCAGCTTACGAAAAGGAGTTCTATGCAATCCTGTTTGCAATAAAAAAGTGGCAGCATTATTTCTTAGGCCAGCACTTTATCATCAAAACAGATTAGAAAGCACTGAAGCATATTATTGAACAGCCTCCAACTACACTGATGCAAAATTGGGGCCTAGAGAAGCTAATGGGGCTTGACTTCAGCATTGAATACAAAAAAGGGAAGGAGAATATAGTTGCTGATGCACTTTCCAGGAAGCCTAATACCAATCAGCTAATGGTGATGTTACAAGCAGCTTCAGAACTAACAGAAGAAGTAAAGCAATCTTGGGAGGCAGATATGAAGTTAAGAAAACTCATAGACAAGATCAGAATAACTCAAGTCCCTTATAAACACTATAGCTTCAACAATCAGCTGCTGAAGAGGAAAGGAAAATTAGTAGTGGGTGACAACAAAGATCTGAGAAATAAATTGATGAAGTACTTTCATGATTCTCCTGTAGGAGGACATTCTGGTATGGACCAAACATACAAAAGAATCAAAGAGCAATTCTACTGGAAAGGTCTGCAGAAAACAGTGAAAAGATGGGTACAGGAGTGCCAAACATGTCAAAGATTCAAAACCTTTCCTCAACTGTCCTCAGGCAAACTCCAACCTCTTCCAATTCCAGAAGGAGCTTGGCAATCAATATCCATGGACTTCATTACAGGTCTTCCTAAGTCCAATGGAATGACAGTCATATTAGTGATAATTGATAGATACACGAAATATGCCCACTTCATACCTCTTAAACATCCATTTGGCGCTGCAAAAGTTGCAGAAGTGTTCATCGATACAGTTGTGAAACTACATTGCTGGCCAACTGAAATCATATCTGACAGGGACCCTTTGTTCCTTAGTACATTTTGGTCTGAATTGATGAAGAGACATGGTGTACAGCTGCTTAAGTCCACAGCCTTCCATCCACAAACAGATGGGCAATCTGAGGCCTTGAACAAAGCATTGGAGGGTTATCTAAGATGCATGACGGGAGATGTACCTAAACAGTGGAGTAGATATTTGTCTATGGCTGAAATGTGGTACAATACAAAGTTCCATTCAGCAATACAAATGACTCCATTCGAGGCTCTATATGGATACAAACCATCCATTCCATGTCCTATACAACAAGGTGAATCAATGGTGGAGGCAGTAGATTACACAATAAAGACAAGGGAACAACTTTCAAGACTTCTGCATGATAACCTGACCAAGGCTCAAAATAGGATGAAGATGTATGCTGACATGAAGAGAGTTGATAAGGAATATCAAGTAGGAGACTCAGTTTATTTGAAGATCCAGCCTTATAAGCAGCACTCTTTGGCTAGTTCTTCTTTTCATAAACTAGCAGCAAGATATTATGGACCTTATAAAATAATAGAGAGAGTGGGCAAGGTTGCCTATAGATTACAACTACCAGCAGGGACCAAGATTCATGATGTATTTCATATCTCCTTGCTGAAGAAACACCATGGAGATCATCCTGTATATGCAGCTTTGCCTTTATTGACAGAGAATGGAGAGCCTCCAATGCAGCCCTTAGCAGTATTGGATAGAAGGATGAAGCAGAAAAACAACAGAGCAATAACTGAAATATTGGTGCAATGGCAAGATACAAACCCTGAGGATGCAACTTGGCATGACTTACAAAGCATGAGGACTCAGTACCCTGAGTTTAATTGGTTTCAGAACTGATATAGACCTTGAGGACAAGGTCGTGTTTCATGGGAGGAAAATTGTAATGAATCAAATTAGATTTAGGGACTTAATTGTAATTCATGGATTCTTTTAGCCTTAGTTGCAAATTCTGTTAAGTTTGTTTGGCTACCAAGCTGTTAGGCTGTTAGTGGCGCTAATAATCTGTTAGGTTATGTAGAGCATTAATTGGTTATAAAAACTAACAACTTGTAATCTCAATCAATCAATCAATAATCAAATTCAATCTTTGTTTCCTTTCTTCTCTTCCGAATTTAGAGAGATTGAGAGTGAGTGTTCAGGAATTGCAGAAACATTCCTAACAGGTTTAGTTAAATTTGATCTAGATTCTTTAGTTCTTTATACCCAGTTTAGGGTCTCCTTTCTCCTGTTTTGTCTTTCTTGATTTTGGACTCTAGTTTCTAGAGTTGTCCTAGGTCTCGTGCTTACGTTTTCTTTTGGGCTTTTAAGCCCCTTTTATTAGCAAAAAAAAAAAAAAAAAACCAAGTTTAAATTATAATTTTTTTATTAACTAACTTTTAAGGTACAAAATAACTCTAATTTAATTTAAATATTCTCAAATAAAATTATTATTCAACAAAACACAACCATGTTAAAAAAAAGCTAATTAAATATAATCAAGTCTAAAAAATAAGCAAAATCCAAGTAAAATCCCTGAAACAATTAAAATAAAATCAGAAGCTCTAAATAATAACCAGATAGTAATCCAAAACCACATGATAAATTGACGTTTAGGCTCGAAACACAAATGGCCATTTCTGAACATTAACCTTTCCAAACAAATTAACAAAGCTTCAAATCACGTAATCCCATAACTTGGTAAAGAAATAACTAATACACCAATGAGGACCCAAAACATTACAATGCCACCCTTCAGAAAATTTTGCTCAAATTCATCTCATCCACCCTTGATGATGTTCTTTCTCCTGCACCTGCAACACACAAAGTGAGAATCAAATTGGGACTTGGGAGATTGAAGGAATGGGATATATCTTTAATTAACTCAAGTCGTTCACACTTGTGGACGAGTGTCAGAAACATTTGACACTCCACTGCAACTGCCACCCACCCTTTTCGATCTCAAGGAGAAAGTCTGGGATAAAACCCTAATCACATTCAGAAATTTCCCAATCCAACTACGAGACAAACAATGGCCACGAGATGAGCGATTCCTGTGCCATTTCAAATTTGATTTCATTCATTTATTCAAATGCAAAGTCAGACAAAACCCCATCAAATTTCTGCCAATAAATGGATTGTATATAAGATCAAGACCTTATTTTAGCTATTGGAAAACTATGATGACCAAATGTGTGCTATTAAAATTAGAGATATCAAAATTGTACATAAAGTAAGGTAAATTTGTAACTAAACCTTTACTTTTATAGAAACTTAAAATATTCTGTACACTTCCTTTGCTTTTCTTTTTTCTTTTTATAAAATTCTGTACACTTCCTTGAAGCTTATAACTTCACAAATTACAAATGACTCTACACTGGCTTATTGCTGTTGGTAATTCTATTCAATCAATATATACATGGAGAAAGTTATCAATGAGTAGTGGGTGCTTTGTTTCTCTCCACAACTGCAGCTCTACACTGCGATTCATTGCATTCCTATCCGTCGTGCATGCTTCTTCATATCCCTGCAAATTTGTCAAAAAAAAAAGTTATCAATAAAGGAATCAATATTTATACACAGTTTAGCCCAAATTTGACTGTTGGTAGGGAAATGTAAAAGTAACACACATGCAGCGTGGGACGCCACATCCTGAATCTTTACAATTCCTACAGTGTGCAGTGATTCCCATCCACGCCTTCATACAATATTGGCAGCCCCCTGAAACTCGAATGGTGCATCTACTTGCATGAGAAAACAGCTTTTTAATTTCAAGACAGTGAGGGTAAGTACATGGTCGAGTTCTGGTTGAGTGACATTGGGATGCATGCAGTATAACATCCTGCAGTTCCTGCATCTGAATGACAATGACACGGTAAGGCAGCAGGCATGCAATCTCATCATAAGAATGGAAAATAAAGGAATAAAAACTGAAAAAAAGTAGGTGTGAACAACAATCTAGAAGAAACAAACGACGGAAACAATAAAATCTAGGAACTAGGTTTATTCTCGTACCAAGTTCTGCATTGACTCTTTGTTCCCTGAACAAGTTCTACTCAACTTGTGTACATGGCAAATAGCGCCTCTCTCCTTGTAGCATGCAAAGCAGACAGTGAACTCTGGGCAAATCTCACATTTCCAGTTCCATTGCAATACATTATTGTGTTTAAAACAAATGCTACATTTTGTTCCAACTGGCACAGTAGGATTCTTTAGATGATGAAGTATCATCATTGAAGAATACTTGGCTTGGCGGAGTGTGTCAAACTGAAACAGTTTCTTTTGGCAAAAGCTCAGAAACTTCTGCCTATCCTCAAATAACCCATTATCAAGGATGATATCATTCTCCTTAGTATCAAAAATGATATCATTCATGAGGACCTGGAAAGGCACACAATTGAAAGATGTATGTTGTTTCATGAAATCGCTAATGAATGAGAAAATAATATAAATTTAGCTTTAAGTTTAGAAAGGCACCTGACAAAGTGTATGCTTCTTGCCACCAATAGAAGTGTGCGAGTTACTAGTATGGCATCTGAAATATTAATATTAAAAGTAACTGACAATAAGACCTATTTTGTTTCTTATCAAAGCAGAACAAAAGTATGCAACATAGCATGTGGGGAAAGGGATGGGAAAAATAAAAAAGAGAAGATACAGAAGGGGACATTATAATCAAATTCAATTGACATATCCTACAATTCAGTTCCTTGCATACCAAATCTTCTGCACAAGAATCAACCGGCTGATTATTTCAAATTATTGGATTGTAACATCAGGAAACAACTAAAATCTTACTGCTCCCATATTACGAAGCAAGTAAATAAGTTTCAATGTCATGGACGGGATTGGATAAAAAATAACTGTATACAGGAAGATATTGGAGTGATACCTATTGAGAGGAAACTGACAAAAAAATTAGTTAAGGTGATTTGGACATAAGCAAAGTAGAATACGAGAGACACAAGTAAGGAGTAGATCACATATTTTTCAACTCTGTGAAAAGGGATAAAAAGAGGCCAAGAACTTAAAATGAAATTATTAAAGGGACCTCATGGTAATGATATCTGATATGGTCCAAAGTAGAACTTTGTTGATTGTTAATTTTGGCAGAAAGTTCTTCTATCAGGAGCGTAGCTCTGGGACACCATTGAGAGCGTACAGAAATTCTTCTTTAATATAGAAATTCTTTCTTTGTTCTTTCTTGATTTCCTATCAATATCTCTAAAAGTGTAATTTTTTACCGAGTCAAATGACAACTCTGTCATCCCATGTAGTCACTCTCACCTGTAGATAAGGGTTTTGTTGTTTTTCTTTTCTAATTTTGGAAGTGTTTAGTGGAGAAAAAGGTATAACTTGACCAAGATATGAGAGAAAATGTCAAAGGAATGCAGCATTGGCACACTGATATTTACAAGAGTACAAAGGAGACAAATCGTGCAAAGTACAGAACAGAGAAGAAAAGGATCTTGCTATCAAAATTCTAATTAAACCAGCACATGAATAACAGAATACAAGGGACAAGAGGGAAAAAGAACAGCTCAAGTATTTGATTTTTAAGCTATCATCACCTTTCACACTCCTGAAATTTCTTGCATTCAGTGCAAAACCATCGCTTCCCAGACACTATCACTTCATGGCAGTGTATGCATACAGACTGTAAGTGAATCATGATGAAATCTTCCTTGACAGGCAAAATGATTTGGCCCAGCTAACACATATAGAGGGGTAAAAGGAAAAGGAAGAAAGATCAGATAACATCTAAAAAAATGAAGGATCAACAAAAATAACTTAAACGCATGTATAAGAATATAGTAACATTCATTCAGCTATGGATAAAGGGATATATCACACAAGATGATATTCATGTGTAAATGTAACACTAATAAAATTTGTGCCAGAGAAGAAAAGTTGACAGACTCAAATCTATAGCGGAAGTAATTAAAATGCCATATTGCAGTTATAAGGGTGGGTATCTTTGTTTAAGTAGTAAAAGAAAAAATTATACATTGACACAAATCCATATATATATATAGGGAGAGAGAGAGAGAGAGAGAGAGAGAGATCTCACCCCTTCTGATATCCAGTTCAAAATTATACTCATCACAAAATACAGCATGCAGAAGAATGATTATGATGATATTCATGAAGCACTATTTGCAGCTCAAATAATCCAAAAATGTTAACAACTCAGTCATTCTCAGTACTGCAGTAATTTTCCTTAATTATTAGACCTTGAACTAGATTTTCTCTTTATCTCTACTGTCAAAAACATTTGATTTTCAAGGATCAAATAAAACCTCACAATGATCTTGGTAGCCGTGCAAAACCAAGTTATAAAAAACTATATATAATCTCAAGTGTTACTATGATTTAATAACCAGTTCAAACTTTTGTGAGGAAGATCTGCAAAGATGTTTAACAACCTATATCGATTCACATATAAAGAGCTACTACAGCAAATAGATGAAGGTTAGAGTCAAAGTAGACATACTTCTTTCATTACTAGAATGTTTTTGGCAGTTTCTTTTGAAGGATTTACATGTCCCATGGCCTTAGTTCTTTTGGTTACAAGTTTCTTCAACGTCTTTTCATACTCTCCCCCACTCTCATGTTCAATTTTCCTGGCTATATCCATAGCAGCACCAGACCAGTAGTCTCCATCAAAGTAAGGCAAACAAGCAGCTGATACTTTGGAGTCACAATTTCCAGTAGGAACAAAGAAATGATCATACATGTTAGTTAAACCAACAACAATATTTTCTTCAGCAGCCTTTCTTAGCATTGAATGATACCTGCATAGATTAATATATAAAACTACTCAATGGTTATATGGCAGTGCTCATTTTCCAAAGAATGGATGATGAAAAGAAGAAATTCACTCTCTATAACATTACAGCAGTACAGTACTAATGAGTTATTGGGATATGGATGAAGAAATGTATACAGAAGCACATAACAATTCAATACACACTTAAGGAGAAAGAAAGACAGACCAATTCCGTAGTTTATCCTTCTTTGGAGTTTTTTGAGTGACAGGATGACAATATAGTATATAATCATCCCCCTTTAAAGGTGGACAAGCCCATAGGTAGCAAGTTGTGAAACCTTGTTTCTTGCAAAAATCAAGGTATCCAATCTGATGATAGAAAAAGGAAAAATTAAAACATGCATAGAACAAATGGAAGGTTTTAAACGTTCACTGTGTCAGTTAATTGACATAATAAATGAACACAAGCTGAAATGTGGTCTAAGAAAAACAAAGAGCAATTAACAACAGAAAATTTATAAGCAACTTACCAATATCTCATGGTAAACGAAGGTACGAAGAGCTTCTCCAGTCATAGTCTCTCTTTCAGGCCTAAAATACTTGACAGAATCAAGATACGAAATATATACGCAACCCTGATTTGGATAGCCACATTCCGAGCCAAACTCCTGGACATACATTCCGAAAAGGCATACATCTACTCCTTCAATCTGCTGAAACAGAAGAATAACCTGAAACAGATGGAACTGCTGTCACCACTTCTGAATAACACAATGCTGGAGATATCAGGATATACTAGTCCTTAATTAATTAAAGCATATTATTTCATTCATCTCTGAACTTACTTTTGATGTATAAGAAAACTCAGCAGGGTAATTCTCCTCTGGAAAGATGTCCATAAATTCTTTCTTCACTTTCAATTGTTTGTCAACAGACAGCACTACTCTAACAGAAAGATTTTCTGCAACTAAAGCCTAGCAATTTGGAGTCATACAAGTCAAATCAGAAAGCATATAATTTTTAAATGAATGTCTAACAAATTTAAAAAGATATAAGAAGAAGCAATTGATTGCATGAGGATAATATTGTATGTGTGAAAATATGTAAACTGCAGCCTTTTATTCGGGCTGAAGCATAGCTATTTTAACAGAAATTTGTTTCTTAGTACCAGAGCTCCTTTAGGCTATTTGATGCTGCCAGATCTTGCATCTATCACATTGAACCCACTAGAAGAAACAACAGTCATAAAAAGTGAGTTTAAAGTTCTCTATATACAGCTGAATTATAAAAGTGACTAAACGTACCGGTTCATCTGATGCTTCACTATTTTCCATTTTATCAAGAAGTGACTTGGAAACAGATGTCCCATTGAATGTGATGTGACTGCCTCGAGAATTTTTATAGCACACAGTGCAAAAGCAATGATGTGTGTCAGATTCTACTCCTCTGCTTTGGTAATAGTTTGCATTTTCCTTGATGCGGCTGCTACAACAATAGCAATAAATTGGAATTTGGGCAAAATAAAGCTGTCCCATTTCACATAATTGGCATATGTAATCAGCATTTTCTGGTTCTTCATCAGTGGGATTCTGTTAAAAGAAGCATCAATTTGTATATGCTTGGAAAAATTCACAAGCAAACTTATAAAATATAGAAATGCACATGTACAAGGTATAAAGCCATCATGGGCTTATGGAGTTGGTCCTTAATATAATTTAATTTTTCGCAGAATATTTTTTAGTCCCATCATAAGTAAGCTTAAATTTGATTTTAGTTCTCCAAAAATTTCATTACATAATAGAATATTTTACAAAGTCTCTTTTCCATCTATTCTTTTTCTCAATAGATAAAACCCCATAATTTCAACACATATAAACTACCGATTGACACGAGACATACACTGACCCTGGCTCATCCTAGTACAGTGCAGTTGCAATCCAGTAGGCATGCTTTTATAGAATTAGCATCACATTATAAGAGTATTATGTAGCCTTGATGTTGAAAAGGAACAGAAGAAATTGCCAAAAAAATTAAATATAACAAAAGTTTAATAAAAGTTATACAATCATTAGTAATGTACATATATATAGAATCCCAGATTCCCAATAGACCTGAACATACACACACATACATACAAATTATTTTAAAAGCAAAAGCATGTCAGAAAGAAAAATTACAGTGAAATAGGTGAATAGCACTATAAACTATTCTGTCCAAAAGATTAAATCCTTATTAATAATTAGTAATTTTTGCAGTTTTGAAAGCAAATTAGAAAACAATCACACAATAAAGATTTCAATGCTAGAGATACTCATAAGAGTACCTAAACAGATCAAGGTAAAGGAAAACAGTAGAAGATGGTGTACTGACCTGAACAAACTGCCTTCTTAGACTCATAATGTGTTCCATTAATTGATTACTCGTGAAAAAATCTGTTAAGGAAACAGTATTAACTGTTGGATTTGAGGACCTTGTTTCCTTGTCTTGATCAGCTTTTGGCTCAATGACTCTCTTTGTACCATTTACCTTGTTGAACCTGGTCCTGCCTTGTATGTGCTCTATATCTGCAGGCCTAGGGTCTTTGCAGAGACTATGCATATTGGCATTGGATCCAACAACAGTTTCTTTCAAGTTGCTGTTGGCTTTCACATCATGGCTTTTGAAGTCCGGTTCCTCTGATACATGATCAGGTTCTAAGCCTTTAGAGATAACTGTTTCAATCTTGAAAGTCTGCCCAACTGTATCATCAATAACATTGTTCTTTGTCTCAACATTGCTTATCGAATCAAGCATTGGATTTGAAATTGTAAATTCTTTCACATTACTCTCTGTAACTTCAGAATAGATAGAAGAGAGAGGAGGTTCTGGGTGCTGCTGAAATTCTGAAAGTGCTTCAGAAGAACAAGGTTGAACCATTTTTGGAGTCAATTGATCAGAACTTGCATTATTAATTAAAGAGACACCTAAAGCACCTTCCATTTTTCTTCTTTTTTTAGGTGGTAGCATGGCTTCAGAACTAACAGAAGGGGCATCATTTTCTCCCACAACAGAACCCGTAATTACGCTATTTGGAAATTCAAATTGATGCTCAAGAATATCAGTGCCACGCAATTTCAAGGAATAACATATTTGACAATCATCACATCGACAACCATCAAAATGTAATAGCAGCTTGCTATACTGTTCACAAGTGCATGTCCCTTTGCAACAAACTGTTGAATGCAGATATTTGATAACATTAGCCTGTGAAACACCGTTTAAATTCTTGTGACTGTATTTAGTTGCATGCAACTTATTGAGTTGAGTTTCCAATCTTTTTATCAATGTGTCCAGGTTCATATATTCCTCCTGCCAAATATATAGAAAGAAAAATCATCAATAAATAGCCAGGATGCTTAACTAACAAGATAGAGCTTGCATTTGATCCTCCTATTGCCTTTTTAACAAATGAAAACCACACCATCTCAGACACAATTCAAAAAACAAACCTTTGAAGCAGCATCAATAAATAGCCAGTTTTCCAGCATATTTGCAATATCAGATGCCAGCTGCTCTTGCTCATAATGGATTCCAGAACTGAAAATTGCAGAACTGATGTAAAATTTAGTTAGTCTCAACTCAATGACAATCTTATGTTGAAGAAAAAGCCATCACTGTTAATTTCAGCATCTTTGTATCATGTAGGGATAAAATTTATACAAGTTCAAGTTAATGTCAAATCAAAACTCATATCACTTACATTTTGTTTCTAATCAAACATCGGCAGTGGTTGATTCCAGGATGCTTACACCAGTCTGTGGAGACTCCTACCTGATTTCTTATACATTGACGCCTTAAATCAAAACCTCTTTGATGAGGAAGGTCAAAGGAAAATGACATAGATTCTCCTGATCTTTTTCTGCAGGTATTCCCAAGATTAGAAGCCACGGCATGCATCTTCTCACTTTATCAAACTCTTCCTTCTATAGGCACTATAAGCCACTTGAAATTAATATGAGTGTTAGTTAGGGAAAATGCAATAAATGTAGAAATGATATCATAACCCGGAAGATGAAAGCAGGATTATCAGAAATTTAAACAAGGTCATGATTAAGTTTACACTCTCAAACACCAATGTAAATAGCAATTAAAATAGTTTAAAATTCAAATTAACAAAGAAGCCATATCAATCTTGAAATGGCATCAAAACCAAACAAACACAAAGTTGGATTACCAAAAGTCAAAATTTTAGAAAGCAAAACTCGTGATTCAGGTTCAACACATGATAAAATATAAGATGACTGACTAAAGTATATGGCACCCCTTCAAGAATTCAGTATTAAAAGTCATTGTGTAATTTTGAATCACCCTCAAGGGACATATTAAGAAATTATTATTAGCATTTAAAGAAGAAAATTGTTCGTAGTTCCAAACTTTCTTGCACTTGGTAAGTAGTAGTCCCATACAGGCAATAAGGAAGAAATATGCTTCCACATTTTTTGTTCTACATTAAAAGAATGGACTGTTTTAATCAATTGCTTCTGGTTTACATTAAGATTGCATAGTCATGAAATGAAGAAGCAGATTAAATCCATAGTAAACTCAAAAGGATGAAGCTTGTTACTAAGATCCCAACAAGTATAAGGGAAAAATATCATTGAGACACCCAATAAGTCAAAAACAGTCATAAAGTATAATAGCAGTAGAGTGAAGTCATAAAATTGCTGTAGAGTGACAGTCAGAATGTCAGTTTGTACTGTACAATTTCGAGTTCCTATTGTTTGCTACCTTCACCTAGTTAGGCAATGGTAAGAAATTACAAACTATTTTTTATATTTTTCAATTGATGGAACTAGCAGTTTTTTAAGGTTATATTTAGGGTAATTTTCATGTCGTCTTGTAAATCAAGAGGATATTTTATGTCCTCTTACACATGGAATAATTATCATCATTAATTTTAAATTAATATATAACAGAGTTAGCTGTTTATTTGGAAGAGACATAAATATCCTTTAATCTCTAAGACATTAGAAGAATCACAACGGTTAGTTTAGAGAGAATATACAATGCCTTCTCAATTTTAGGAGTACCATAAGATGGTAGGAAATGATAGGGATAACAACACAATACAAAGTCACATTAAACGTCCCCCAAATCTTTTGGATAATCTACCAGAAATAATAACAAAGTAAATAGGCATCAATGTTTTTAATAAAAAACTTTAATTTCACTTTAAGAAAAGTATGATGAATGTTATAAACAGAAAACTATCAGGAACGAGCAACACTAATTTGTTCCATCAAAATTCACTAAATTCAATGCAGAAAAAGAAATTGCATAATTAGGTTAAAAATTTGAAGATTTTATTTTAAAATTACAACGACATTGGTATTAAACTTATCAAAACATAAATTAATTCAACTCGTTTATCATTCACTTAACCAACATCGTTTAAATCAATCAATTAATTAACCAATTAACTGAGAAGCCGAAATTCAGAAGTAATCAAGGACAATTTGAAACTTCTCTTGAAAGGAAATTGTTGACAATTTAGAGTTCCTTTTTGCTACTTTGCCCGAAGGTAGCAGTTTTTTCATTTGTTACGACAGCAACAAAAAATTTAAGTGTTTACTATTGTATCCACAATCTCCAGAGAGCATTGTATATTCTTTTTAAATTGAGGGCTATGATTCTTCTAAAATTTTGGAGATTAAAAAAATATTTACATCTTTTCTAAATGAACTTTTAACTTCATTATCTATTGATTCAAAATTAACTGTGTTAATTTACAAGGCACCATAAAAATTATTAAAACATTATTAACTTAGTTTGAGAAAAAAAAGCTTATTTAATTATAATTTTTATTTGAGAAGTTTTAGATAAGAATGAGAAATTATATAAATCTTTCAAAATCTTTGGCTATGTTTAGAGGAAAGGAAAGAGAAAAGAGTTAAACTCCCATTTGTTTGAATGTTTAACATTAAAAAAAGAAAGTGATAAGGATTTAATAATATAAACAACATCATTGTCATTCATATTTTTTATTTATATTTTTTATCTTATTTTTTAAAATATAAAAAATTAAATATTTTTTGTCTCTGAAAATTAATATTTTTTAATAAAATTTTTTAAAAATTCTCATTTTAAAAACTAACATATTTTCAAAAACAAAATTAAAACCTTAACTTTCTATCTTTTAATTAATTACCTTCTAAATAAGGGTTAGAGATCTCTAATCCTTCTCTTTTTTTTTTCTTTCCTAAAGATGAAATTCAAACACAGTCAATTTTTAATTTCTTCTAATTTGACAAATCATTTATTAACTTTCCGTAGGTTTTTTTCTCTCCTCACTTGCCTTAAAGATTCTTTCCCTTTCTTTTTTACCAAACTCTAAGACAAATTCTAAGGATATAATCGTAAATACACAAGATAAAACTTAGAACCGAGAAGATGAAAAAATTCCAAGAAAACAGAGCAACTGTACGAAATTAATATCCGCACTACAGACCTTCAATTGAAGATCCAATTGTTGAAATCAAAGATACACGTTCGGAACCGGCTGATGAAATTTCAGTCCGATCCAACGTTCACAAATCTACAGTCTCGATATTACGTTCCCTACTCTGGGTGTGGCGGCAGTGACTTCCACGGTTCTCTTTCTTTCTTGACTGGATCTATTTCATTTTTTATACTAATTTGAATTTGAAAATTAAGAGATAAATTTTATTTATTTTTTATATTGATTTCATCAAATTTGGGCCCAAGTAAGAAATAAAATCGGTTTTCACTTTTGAGCCTTTTATTTATAAATAATTTTATTAAATAAAATGAAATAATAAATATAGTTTTATATAATTATTTTGATAATTTTATATCATAAAAAAATAAATTTGATGATTTTTTTAATTATTTATATTATTTTGAACATGACAGAAATAAGATTTTAAAATTTTAAATATTAAACAGATGACAAAAATATTGTAAAATAATAAGAATAAAAGTAAAGAAATTATTTTAAAATAGTAATTAAAACTAATCATTAAAAATGGTAATTAAAATCATATTCAAAAATATCTATTTTAACTACTTTATAAAACAAAATTTTCAACTAATAAAATAAATTTTCATCTACCTAAATAAATCTTTACCATCATAGTCAAACTTTCCTCAACTTACTTCTTCCATTTCTCTTCTTGACTAACATACGTCCATGTACACCAATTACCAGTGCGAATTTAAATGCTAAACTCTAATAATTTCAAAATTTGCATGTTAATTAACAATTTGTTTGGGCATATATGAGATTTACTTGCCGTGAAAATATGTTTTGATAACTGATTTTATTCAATTACTCAACGGTTTAATTATGTGATAATTTCAATATTCATAACTGTATTATTCATTAAAATAAAAATATATGAAATATTAGCTACTTCTTAAATTATATAATTTTTTTAGTTTTAATTCAATTAATGATTGGATTAAAAAAATTTAATTTTCATGATAAGTAATTGAATGAAATAATTAAATTCATGGTGGGTGGTTTTCAGCTTAACTTGTAGATCAACGAGTATAAAGTTCTTTTGGCTTAACCCGTGGTCTCAAATTTGAGTGTTCAGTAAATGTAGTTGCATTAAATACTCCAAAGAATAAGAGAGCTTTGTCTAAATTTGTATAAAATGAATTTTATTTAAACTAATTAATAATAAATTTATTATAAAAAATATAAGCTTATTATTAATTAAATTTTAAAGTATATCTTTAATTAATAAATTTTAATTTAATTAAAATTTATTGACATGATATAACACGTATTTATATTATTATTTAATAACAGATTATCACATTAGCAAAAATGATTAATTGTTATAATAATAATTTTAAAAACACAAAAAAATTGTTTTAAAATTATATTTGCTATATATTTTAATTAATAGTGTAAAAAAATACTGATAATACATCAAAATTATATTCATAAATTATTTTGTATATTATTATAGCTTAAATGGTATAAACTAACATATTTGTTAGATTTAATTTTCAAAAAGTGTATGATATATTTACCACTTAATAGATCTTCGTTTATTTGTGAATGTAGAAATTTTCCTCAATGAATATGGTAAATGATACTTCTCAGGGAATTTCCTTTGCCATCAACAACATAGCTAATTAAGTAACTATGGAAGAGACCCTAATAGGTGGCTTGCTACTAATATATAAGATTACTTTTCATATATATATTTAGGCATTCAACTATAAGATTGATCTTTCCTTTTTTGTCAATAACTATGTAATAGGATTTATCTAATGGGGCAATCTGCTGGTGCTCATATTTCTTTTTGCTCTCTATTGGATCAAGCAATCAAAGAAGATGGAAAAGAAGATAGTGTTTCTTGGAGCATTTCCAAACTAAAAGCTTACTTCCCAAAGAAGATATTTTTGCTACTTTTCAAGAGAGCTTCATGGGCATGTACTGAATTATGTGGGAATGGTCAATTTCAACAGCATATCTCTGATCTTTATGGATTGTCTAGAAAACATGAATATGAAGGAACATCAATGCAGCTCCTGCATATTCCGTGTTGTCTATTTTTTGAGTTAATGTAATACAAAGAAGCCTCTTAAGCTAAAAGGAAAAATTTTACCACAACCATATGACTAACGAGGTTTTATGGTGCTGAAGTGCAAACAAGAGCATAAGATATGTGTTACGCAGATGAAAATGTTGTGTTGGATAAGTGGTCATACTAGAAAAGTTAGGACTGAAGCTGAATGACTTAGAGAGAACTAGGAGTTGCTCTTCGAGAATGAAATAAAGGTAGATTAGACTCAGAAAAATTCTTAACTGAAACCATTAAAAAGGATTTAGATCTAAATGGACTGTTTGAAGAATTAGTTTTTGACAAAATGCAAGGATCGCTTGTACGTTTTCGTAATCTATTTCCATTTTATTTTTGCTTTTTCCTAGACAAAGAGATTAAAATTAAAGAGAGAGACGTTTCAAGCTTGTTTTGTGAAGAAGTGTGATCACTGACGACTGTGCTTCTGAATTATGCTCTCAGAGAAATCGGTTTAAACATATTAAGGGTAAGCTATTAACCCTTTCAACACCCATCTGCAGATACAACTTATTGAATTCAGTTGGTCACTTCCAAAATCTTGGCTTGTATTGTTCTATAAGGTGTGTCCCCAATAATCAAGTTTCATTGCAACTAATGTTTTTCCCTCCTTATGACTCTGATTATCATTGCAGCATAATGGAAGGTGAATAAAGTTTGAAGAAATTTTCTCCTGCAATCAAAATTCAAGATCTATGCCTGAAACATACCATTCTTCTCTTGCCCCCTGTATAGTTCCTTGGAACTGCTGATTATTCCATACTATCTGTACTGGGAAAGGAATCAACTCGGTTCCACCATCAGCAAAAAGAAACCGAATACCTACTCGGCATACTAGGCCGGTACCCCTAGTCAGGATTAAAAGGTAAATAATCCAAATTAAAGATAATCAAAAATACTATGGGCCTCAAATATAAAAATTGACTCAGGCCCATTAGCCCAAAAGAACGTCTATAAAAAGAAGATAAGAAATACAGGTTAGTGGTTGACTTCAGATCATTAAATAACATTTATTACTCAGAACCGAATCCTAACTTTATCATCGGAGTGCCTTTTGCAGGTATTCTCCCTATCATCAAATCAGCAGCAGGACGCCTGATCAGAGATTAGAAGACAGTTAAGGGAGGAACACTATCTATTGCCAGGTTAAGTGTAAGCCTTGAAATTCATTGGTCTATTGGTGTATTATATTCTTTTACTGCATTGAAGGAGACTACTTAAGGTTTCAATAATATACTTTTATGTTGTATTTTCATACTACAAATAAAACCTGATTGACTGTTATGTCCTAAAGATTCAACAAAGTTTTAGGATGACTTTCATATGCTTAACTCAACCCTCTTTAATCTAGGCTTGGGGAGTTGGGGTTGAGTGTGTAAATATTGGCAACAAACCATGGCATCGGCAGAGTTGCGAAGTGAATGAGAGGAGGAATTTAGAGTAAGTGAATGAGTTACTAAGTTATATCAGTAATGGAAGGAACCGAGAGAGAAAAGGATAAAATGATGTTTTGCATAGCCAAATAAAAGGAAATAAATGAAAACTACTTAGGATAGGAATTAATAGGGAGAGTTGCACTTAGTTAGGGAAGTCATGAGAAATCATTGAAAATAGGGTAGAATATGTGCATGTAAACAATTAACCTTGTAATCTTAAATGTAGTAAAATGAAACAAGAAAGGAATTAGAAGAGATAAAGGAAAATAAAGAAAAAAAAGGATAATTAATCGAAAGGAAATAGGTAAATTAACTTTGTGAGCCTTAGAATAATAATGACATCTAAATAACATATACAATCCCCTAAAATGGCAACCAACTAAATTTTACTAAGTTAATCAATGACATAATAATATTCTAGGAATACCTCTCGTAAGCCTTAAATTTCTAATATAAGTAAGGTTAATGACATGTTAGAAGTTGCAAGGAAGATGAGCCCTAGAATAAGGAGAGACATGAAAATTGTATATGAAATATGGAGTGAGGATCTTGGCATGGGATCAACTATTATGAAATTCATGGAGTTGTCGACAAAGAAATGTGCTCCAATTGGCATGAATATAATGATGTGCTTGACTATGAAATCTTTAGAGAAAAGGAAAAGGTTAAGTAGATTTGTTGTGGTAAGGTAAAAAAATGATAATTAACAAAAGATTTAAATGGTATTTTGGTTCCTACACTTGACTCGAATTTATAAGTTAGTTCATACATGTAAAAAAATTGTAAATTAGTCTTTATATGTACATTTATTCTCGATTTAGTCCTTACCATTAAGTTTAAAGTAAACAACGTGAAACAAGTAAGCGACTAAATTGAGAATAACTATACATACGAGGATTGATTTACAAATATTTTTACATATAAAGACTAACTTACAAATTTGAGTCACGATTACTTTTGTAAATATATAAGACACCTTCAGTTTGCATCTTGATTTCGATGGTGTCAAGGGAGTGGAGAAAGACATAGATGAATGTGCCAGTGATTCTGCTGCTAGCAACTCTAATGAGGGCACATTCGAGGACGGAGAGGGTTTGGTTGAGGGATTGAGATTTTGGATGGGTCAGAGCCATTTGTTAGGTTAGATCAAGTTGGAATTAGAGGTGGAAAGCTAAAAGAGGAAAAGACTCTAGCCTCTATTAAAGTTTATGCAAGGGAAGAAGAAGAGTGGAGAGAGTGGAATTGGAGGTGGAGGTGAAAGCAAGGGTGAGAGTGCAATTGGTGATGATAACTTTAATAATGAAGATAGTACAATCTTACTCTTCTGAAGCACTTTTAGAATTTTTGCAACAGCCAGAATTTCCTCTCTCTTCTATCTCTTGGTATCTTAATCATACCAATTTTTTTCTTAGTTTCTATACTCCGTCGTCCATCACTGTCAGGCCCACTACTGGAGATTGCTCTAATCAGTCTAGAAACGCTACCACCAAAATTGCACCATTGAGATCGGCCATACCCTAAAGAGGCATCATTGGAAACCTTGCCACACGCCTTCATGCACTACTACAGCTACTGGCATGTGAAGCTCACACGCCACCTTGTCAACCTTCATTCACGACTGCTCTTTTACAGACAAGGTTGTCTGCGCTTCTCGAGTCTGTTTCTAAGCTCAGTTGCTATTTTTCAGTGGCACTTTACAACTGTTTGAGAGCCCCAATTTAGTACCATTAAGGAACACCCCAAGACTTGTCTTCTTCTTCTTCTTTTTTTCTATTTTCTCATTTTTTTTCAGGTTTTACTACTGTGATGGCTGAAGAAGAAGAACCCAAGACCACCACACAGCCCAAAGTCACTCAACTAATGCCTTTGAGTGCTCATGACCTTCCAACTTCGCTAACCAGCTCAATGGTCAAAATTACTTATGTTGAGAGATAGTGGAATGAATCCGTGTGTTTTGGTTACAGCAGAGCTATTGAATTTTATAAGAGTACATAATTATAGAATATACAATTACTATATTTACAAGATTCTAACAAATTCTAACACTCCCTCTTAATCTGAAGCATAAAGCATATGCACCAAACTTGTTACATAAGTAGTTCATCCGAGGACCCCTTAGTGACTTAGTAAATATATCTGCTAGTTGATCATAGGAATTGACAAAATTAGTAGATATTTCCCCACACATGACTTTCTCTCTGACAAAGTGACAATCAATTTCAATGTGCTTTGTCCTCTCATGGAATATTGGATTTGAGGCAATATGCATGGCAGCCTGGTTATCACATATAAGTGACATACGTGTAACCTCTCCAAACTTTAGTTCCTTAAGCAACTATTTGAGCCATATAAGTTCCTAACTAACTATAGCCATAGCTCAATACTTCGCTTCTGTACTAGACCTGACTACGATATTCTACTTCTTATTCGCATTATTCGATACATCAAAGGACGAAGGACACACTCGAGTTGTGGGGTATTCTGATGCAAATTGGGCAAGATCTCTCATTGATAGAAGGTCCACTTCTAGATTTTGTATATTTCTAAGACAAAAGACACAACAGTCACTGCATCCTAATGTTCCTTACATTAAAAGTTGAGGTATTGACTCACTACACTCACTGCGAATGAGATATCTAGATAGGTAAAAGTGAGGTAGTTCAACTTCCTTACTAATCTTTTGTACCTTTCACGATCTAGAAGAGACTTCCCCTGATTTGACAGGAGCTTGACATTGGGATTCATGGGGGGTGTCGACTGTCTTGGAATTTAACATTCATGTTTCTTCCAAAATATCCACTGCATACTTCCTTTGGGATATGATAATCACATTTTTGGATTGTGCTACTTCTATTCCCAAGAAACATTTTAGTTTGCCAAGATCCTTTGTATGAAAATGTTTGAAGAGATGCTAATTCACCTATGCGATGCTGAGATGATGACTACACGTGATGACAATGTCATTGTTAAGATGAAAGAAAACAAGAAGGCATGAGAGGAATTATGTATCTCAACTACACCATGGGATGTATATTTATATTGATAACGAGAATCGTGATCATAGCCACAAAATTAATGACAAATATACGATTACCTAATTACCATAATTACATGGATACTATTTCCCCAAATAATATGTTTAAATATATTTAATAGATACTATTTTCCTAAATAATATATTTACATATATTTAACACTTCCCCTCAAGTTGAAGCATATGAATCATATGCACCGAGCTTGTCATATATGTATTGAATATGAGGATCCCTTAAAGACTTTGTGAATACATCTGCTAGTTGATCATTTGAATTGACAAAAATTGTAGCAATAACTTCGGATAAGACCTTTTGGCAAAGGAAGTGACAATCAATCTCAATATGCTTCAAGGCAATGTGTAATGCTGTCTAGTTATCACAAATGAGTGTCATTTGTGTATTTTCTCTAAATCTCAATTCTTTAAGTAGTTGTTTCAGCCATATAAGTTCACATGTGCTAAAGCCATGCCTTGATATTCTGCTTCTGTACTAGAAAGAGAAACCACACTTTACTTCTTGCTCTTCCAACAAATTAGATTACCTCCAATTAAAACACAATAGCCAGAGATGAACCTTCTATCATCAGAGCCTGCATAACCTGTGTCAGAATATCCAACAATCTTATCATGACCCTTGTCCTCGTACAAGAGACCTTTTCCTGGAGCACCTTTGATATACTTCAAGATGAGAATCAAAGCATCCCAATTTCCTTCATAGGGAGCGTTGAGGAACTGACTTACCACACTAACAGCAAAAGAGATGTTGAGTCGAGTAACTGTGAGGTAATTTAGTTTACCAATCAATCTTCTATACTTTTTTGGGTCAACAAGAGGCTCTCCCTGACTTGGTAAAAGTTTAGAATTAGGATCTATAAGAGTATCTACAAATTTGGCTCCTATCAAACATGTTTCCTCAAATATATCCAATGCATACTTCCGCTGGAAAATTACAATACTATGTTTGGATTGTGCCACCTCTATTCCCAAGAAATATCAAAGTTTTCCAAGGTCATTTATCTAAAAATGGTGACATAAGTGGTTCTTCAACTGTGTAATGCCATGATGGTTACTGATGAATTTACATTTTATTGGTTTTTTACTTGTCTTTTTAGTATTCCTTAATAGAAAAAGTAGATTTAGGAAGTGTAAATAACATAAAAACATCATTTTGGTCAAATATCATAGGTTTCTTAGTTTTTGGTTAATTTACATTGATTTACATATATATCATTTGCAATTTTGATCATTTGAATAATTGTGCAGAAATTTCTAGACTTATTCCACAGATTTTTAGCACTTGAGAAAGTTTGAGTTAAAAGTGACCACTTTGGGTTCCATAGTGGACACTACAGCAAGCTAGATCCAAAAGGGCAGATAAAAGTGATCACTCTGATTCCATAGTAGACATTACAGAGACCCTAGTTTGAAGAGGTGATGCGCGTAGCTACTTTGGTTCTATAGTAGACACTCAAGGGCAGACCAAAGTGATCACTATGATTCTAAAGTGAACACTCCAGAGAAGGCCAAAGTCACCTAGTCTTGCGCGTAACTACTATAAACCCAGAGTAGACACTCCAGAGAGGGTCAACAGCATGGTGACCTGAGCTTAACCACTATGAAACCATAGTAGCTACTATGGAAGTACTGCGTGTCATTACTATGAAACCATAGTAACTACTATGGATGACGATCACTTCACTATAAATAGATTTTTACCATTTAAGGTAGGGGAACTTTTGTAGAACCTTTTCCTTAAGATATTTAGGGCTTTTAGGATACTTTTGGAGAGCCTAGGGTGGCCTTGGGTGACAGTCAAGGGTCCAACATAGGGTTTGAATTCTATTTTCTTCTTCACTTTTCTTTAATTTTTCATCTTGATATTATTGATTTCTCTTTCCTTTTATCTTGTAATGGTGAGACCCATCCTCATGGAGGGTTAAATTTTCTTGTAATTGTAATCTTTAGTGAGTTCAAATAGATTCTTGAATTCCTTGGCTTTGAATGTTAATATAATTCATTTTCTTTCATGAATTTCTTCTTCCTAATATCTTGAACTGAATTAATGGTTGAATGAGGGGGACATTGCTTAATTAACCCTAATTCATTTTAATGAGATTCTAAACTTGAATTGCTTAATTCTAGATTTATTTCTAAGGTTGCGTAATCTTAGGATGAGAGGTTGGAGTCCATTGAATTGCTTAATTCATATGGAAACATAAGGTTGATTTTCGCTTGTTAAATTAACCTAATTCTGGGAGGAGAAGAAGAGTATTAAATCTTGAGTGGAATAGGAATAGAGTCTACATGAATGAACTAGGGGTTACTACATTTTATTGATTGAACTTTATAATTTTGTTTCTTGCTCTTTATATTGAACTTGAAATCACAAAACCCCCCCCTCTTTACTTGCTTTCTGAATACATGTTTGATATTTGGTTACTCATCCAATGATTCATGGGAGACGACCTAGGTTAGTACCCTAATATTACATTAATTTTTGTTTATATTTTGATGAGGATTCGCAAAAAATCTTTTGTTCATCAGTTATCGCTAATGATAACAAGATCATCTACATACACAACCTGTATATGCATCCTGTGGCTGAGTGGTGAAAAAATTAACTGATTAGCTTCACTTTGAATCATTCCAAACTGTTGAACAACAATGCTGAATCTACCAAACCAAGCTCTTGGAGAGTGTTTAAGACCATACAAAGACTTTCGAAGACGATAAACTAATCCTGAAGACCCTCCCTTAGCAACAAAATCAGGGAGGTTGTTCCATATAAACTTCCTCAGCAAGATCGCCATGAAGGAATATATTCTTAATGTCAAGTTGATGAGGGTTCCAATGGCGGATGACAGCTATGGACGAAATCAAGTCACAGAGGTTGTTTTAGCGACTGGAGAGAATGTATCACCATAATCTAAGACAAAGATCTGAGTATAGCCTTTTGCCATAAGACAAGCTTTAAGGCGATCCACTTGATCATTAAGCCCACTTTAACAGTGTATATCCACCTGCAACCAACAACAAATTTACCTGAAGGAAGAGGAACGAGGTCCCAAGTGCCACTGCTGTTAAGCACACATATTTCAT